CGTCCCACCCTGAATGAATCCAAGGCTGTTATCATTCCGTCTCTTATGCTTCTCAAGTTTGAAAGGGATGATGGAACGGTCGGCTCCCTACGGGGAGACAAGAAGATGGCCAGGGAGTGTTACCTCTCTGATGTCAAGCCCACTGTGGTTGCAGCCGGCCCCAATAGAGAAACAACTGACCTTGACCAAGTCAAGGAAGCTGCGCCTACTGCAACAGCAGCCGGCAAGAAGAGAAAGGCCAACCAAATGGTGGCCGAGAAAAAAGACAGGCAATAGCAATCATTGACCGGTCAAAGGCCGGATGAACTCCGTCCCCAGCCGCCTGGTGAGCACATGGACATTGTCCTAGATGACTCTCATCCTGACCGGACTGTTTAGGTTTAGACGACTGCTTTTGCTGAACTTGGTGCAGACTTGCACCACTTGTTAAAAGAATTCAAAGACATCTTTGCCTTTGAAGTGGACGAAATGCCATGCATCAGCCCGGATCTAGCCGTCCACAAGCTTGCTGTGGATCCTAAAAAGAAGCCGGTAAGGCAAAAGAAGAGGAACCACAGTGAAGAAAGAAGCCAGGCAGCAGTCGCCGAGGTGAAAAAATTGATAGATTCTAAGTTCATTCGGCAATGCTACTTCCTTGATTGGGTTGCCAATGTTGTCCTTGTAAAGAAGTCGAATGGAACCTGGCGCATGTGTATAGATTACACAGACTTGAACAAGGCATGTCCAAAGGATAGTTATCCTCTCCTAAAGATCGACAGTCTGGTCGACTCCACAATCGGCCATGACTTGATGAGCTTCATGGACGCCTATTCAGGTTTTCACCAGATATCTTGTGGAAGAAAGATCAAGAAAATACGGCATTCGTCACTGATCAGGGGTTATTCTGCTATACCGTGATGTCGTTTGGTTTGAAGAATGCGCTTGCTACCTTCCAGAGAATGATTAATACAGTCTTCGTTAATCAAATTGGAAGGAATATGGAGGCGTACATTGATGATATGATAGTTAAATCCAAACTCCAGACGGACCATCTTACAGATCTCCGAGAAAAGTTCGCCACACTCAGGCGGCACTAGGTCATGCTGAATCCCAAGAAATGTGTTTTTGGTGTTGAGTCTGGGAAGTTCCTTGGATTTCTGATTGATCAAAGGGGATAGAGGCCAATCCAGAAAAAATACAAGCGGTCATAGACATGCAGTCGCCCCGTACTGTAAAGGAAGTTAAAAAATTAACAGGTTGTCTAGTGGCATTGGGAAGATTCCTCAGTTGGTCAGGCGACAAGTGCCTCTATTTCTTCCAAGCAATAAAAAAGAGGACTATGTTTGAATGGGGGATGGATGCAGAGGCGGCCTTCCAAAAGTTGAAAGAACACTTGCACTCTTTGCCAAGGCAAGTCAGCCCTCTGTCAAAGGAAGTGTTATACATGTACTTGGCCGTCTCTGATCATGCTCTCAGTATCGTTCTCCTTGCTGAAAGAGACGGTTGCCAGCTCCCCGTCTATTTCATCAGCCATGTCTTGAAAAATGTTGAGTTACGGTACCCCATGGTTGAAAAATTCGGCTTGGCCCTCTTCATGGCAGTTAAGAAGCTGGAACCTTACTTCTTGGCACACCCAGTCATGGTTTACACTGATCAACCAATCAAGCGGCCATTTACAACCATGGAATTATCCGGCCGAATGATTAAATGGGCAATTGAAATGCAATGTTTAGAAATTACTTTTGAGCCAAGGAAAGCAGTGAAGGGGCAGGCACTTGCAGACTTCATTGTTGAAATGACAAGGCTGGCTGATCTAGAAAATCCTGACCAAGTCTGGAAGGTATATGTCGATGGGAGCTCCACAATGAACGACTATGGTGCAGACGTCATATGTCAGTCTCCTGAAGGGGAAAAATTTGAATATGCATTGCGTTTTAAGTTCCAAGCCTCAAACAATGAGGCAGAATATGAAGCCCTACTAGCCGGCATACGCATGTGTGAAGCGGTTGGGGCAAAGAAAGTAGACGCCTGTTCAGATTCACAACTGATTGTTAGCCAATACCATGGTGACTATGAAGCCACACATACGGCTATGATCAAGTATCCACAGGCGGTAAAAGAAGAGGTCGGGACATTTGAAGAATTCCACCTAAGTCAAGTGCCCAAGTCCGAGAATAACCAGGCAGATGCCCTCTCCAAATTGGCGTCATCCGCCTCCTATGACACACCAAGGTCTGTTTTTTGGGAAGTAATGGAGAAAAGGAGAATTGAGGACGAGCCTATTGGAGTCCTTGATCGAAGCTCAACCTGGATGGATGGCATCCGGGCATACTTAACAGACGACACCCTGCCAGATACTTACCCAGAGATGATCATAATGAAAAAGCGTGCGTCTAACTTTGAGATTCACAAAAGGGAACTTTTCAAGAAAGGCTATCTACAACCTCTCTTGAAGTGTGTCACCCTAGAAAAGGGCCTAGAGGTCCTCGAAGACTTGCATTTAGGATTATGTGCCTCCCATATAGGCGGCAAGACACTAGCAAAGAGAGCCAGGCGGCAAGGCTACTTCTGGCCTACCCCTAGAAGCAGACGCCATGGACATGGTGAAAAAATGTGACAAGTGTCAAAGGTTTGGCAAACTCATCCATCATCCGGCCACTGGCATGATGGCTATCCATAGCCCAGTACCATTCGCCAAATGGGGCATGGACATTCTGGGTTCGTATACGCCTGCTACAGGCGGGCGGAGATACATTTTGGTTGATGTCGACTACTTCACTAAGTGGGTAGAGGCGGAGGCGATCAAAGGCATTAAAACCAAAGATGTCATCTCCTTCATTTGGAGAAATGTCATCACTCGGTATGGGGTGCCCATGTTTATGGTCTTTGAAAATGGACCTCAATTTGAGACGCCCGCTCTCAAGAATTGGTTAGGAGACCAAGGGATCTCTCACCGTTTTTGCATCAGTCGGCCGCCCTCAAGCAAACGGCCAGGTTGAAGCATTCAATAAGTTAATCTCTGATGGCATCAAAAAGAAAACTAAAAGAGCTGGCGGCCTATGGGCTGACGAGCTACTGCATGTTCTGTGGGCCATCGGGATGACTGAAAAAGGAGCGACTGGTGAAACTCCATTTCTCATGGTTTATGGGGCAGAGGTTGTTCTGCCTATTGAGCACTATGAGCTGACTCTTCGAGTCATGCTTTATGACGAAGAGGCTAATTGGGAAGCCATGCGGCTAACATTATATTCACTGCCAGAAAGCAGGGGCAATTCAGCCTTGCGCCATGAGATCTACCATCTGAGAATGACGAGAGCTTACAATAAAAGAGTGCACAAACGACCCCTAAAAGTAGGGGACTTTGTGCTACGAAAAATGGAAGCAGTCGGTAGGGCAAACGAGCGGGGGAAGCTGACTCCTAATTAGGATGGTCCCTACCGAATCTATGAAGAAGTTAGAGGCGACACCTACCGCCTGAAAACACTAGACGACATGCAGCTAGCCAGAACTTGAAATGTAGACAACTTAAAAAGTACTACTTCTGAGATTTGTAAATTATTTGTAAACGTATCAATAAAGTTTGCAATTTATTTCTATTGTGCAAGTTTCCTCAGTGGGGCAAGCCACCTGTGCAAAACACAAACGACCTTATTTCTTTTAATTACTTAAGTAAAAAGGTTAAGTCTAGACAACTTAGAAATCTGTTCCTTTCTGAACAACCTAATGAGGCCTCAGGCTGGATGATCAACCTAAGGCTCGTGGCCAGATGATCCTTATGAAATTAAATCAATACGTCTATCCCAATAAAAGAGCAAGCGTCCGGCGACATCCATTTGGGTGAATTCATCGCAGAGAGCATCTCCCATTTGGGTGGCACATTTCTCTATAAACCCAAAAAAGGGCCCTAACGAGTGTCTCCTTGACAACCCCTCGTAGTTGTTTGACCTGATACAAAGATAAACGTACTGTTATACTGTAAACACGCGGTAGACAACAGTTAAAATCTAAGTTAAAAACTGCCTGTTATTGCTTGGGACAATACAGTCGACATAATTTGAGTAACTAGCTAAGCAAAACTTGGCGAATAAAGGGGTACCATGCGGCCAAAGCCGCCTGTTTCTTCTACTCACTCAAATAAAAGTGACAGAGATTGATTAACCCCAAGGGTTAACTCAAAGTCACTCTGGCAAACTTGATATGGAATCTAAATGGTACGAACCAAGCCGCCTGTTTTTTGGCAAACAGACGGTACTCGGCCACTATTCCTCTAAGTTACAAGCACAACATACGACCACAACCGACTATTTCTTTTGATTACTCAAGTACAAGTGACGGAGATTGATTAACCTAAAAAAGTTAACTCATAGTCACTCAACAATCTACAATTGGAATATGAAAGGTACGAATAAGACCGCCTGTTTATTGGCAAACAGACGACATTCGGCCACTATTCCTATTATACTTTGATTAAAAACATCCAGATTGACACCTATTCTGTACAAGCACCAAGCAGACGGACTATTTACGACCAATAAAATAAACTAAGTACGAAACTTAGTGACAAAACCAAGGTTCGTCAAGAACTATATATTGAGGCCAAGAGCCGAATTATGCTAGGTGTTCGCCTAGGCAATGGCCGACTGACCGCCTGGTTTGGGGCAATCACCATAGTGATTGATTGACCTAGAATTAGTAATACTCAAAAGTATCAAAAATTCCAAGTCAATCAACTCACCTTTGAAAACCAGGCGCCAGTTGCCCAGGGGCAAGAACAGCCGGTATATAAAGCATTCAAGAAAACAAGAAGCAAGCTACATACACTTAGCAAAATTCAAAATGACAAAAACTAAAGAAAACGGCCTAAACGGTCGGATGATTAATATAAACAGTCGGCCAGGAGATCGACAGAAATATTGAAAATTAAAATTTAAATTGTCAAGTAATCTCCGACCCCTTGGTCGGGTAATGATACAGAACAAGCGGCACACAGGCCGAAGAAAGATAACATAAAAAATGGGAATTCAAGCAGCTGGAGGAGGACCTACAGTGTTGGCAGCCGCTTGATTTGGATCATCAATCAGCGGCTGTTCTTTATCAACATCCTCCTCCTCCTCCTGCGGCGACTCCTCGTCAGCATCCGCCTCCTGCTTGTCCTCCTCATCCTGGTCCGACTCCCCGTAAATGGAGTCGGACGCCTCATCCTCCGTCTCCTCCTCGCCGCCTGCCTACTCCATGATCTGCTTGTTGTATTGATCAGAACAGGCGGCAAATTGGCCCTCCCATTTTTCATAGCCGGTATCAGGGAAGAGGACCTAGGTCATCTTCATAATGGCGCTGCAGTCGTCCATCATGTCCTAAACAAGGGCCATCTTCTTCTCGCCAGCTTTCTCGTTAAGTTTCTGGGTGAGGTCAGCCTCTTAATTCTGCAGGCGGCCCTTGTGTTTGTTCACCCGGGCGCGGAGTCCCTCGACCTCCTTGTCTGCCTCCTTTAGAGACGCCATCTGAGCTTTGAGGTCCTTTACAAACTTCTCCAGCTCCAAGATCTTCTTCCTGGCCGCCTCTAATTCCTTGACCTGCAAAGTGGCGGACGCCTGGTAATACAGTATGTCAGTGGTCAGAATCTCGTTTTGAGTTATCTGGAACATAGCTTTATCAGAATCAGAGGCGGCCATGGCCTTCGCAGCTTTTACCTCTTTGTTCTTCTCCGTGATGGGTTTGCGGAGACCATACACTCACAACATAGACTACAGCCGGGCAAAAACAATCATCAGTTACAGGCGACCAGGCAAACGTTTAAATAAAAAGAGAGAGAACTTTTTTTACTAAGTATACCTCGGCAAGGAGAGCCAGGATGGCTTCAAGGTTAAGGGTGCCGACTCCCTTAACAGATTCCCTGTCCTGAGCAGGGATGGCCTTCAGCATGGCCTTGTCCATCTGAACCAAGTCCGGCTCTTGAGGGGCATCTGTAAAGTAGACTGATTAATACGTATTATAAAAACAGAAAACCAACCGCCTGAAATCAGAGGAGTCGGTTGCTTGATAAAACTTCGAAGATTTGAGCAAGTTATACCTCTCGCCGCCTCCTTTTCTCATGGAGGCCGACTGCTCCCAGGGGTGGCCGGAGTCCTTGCCCAGCTTTGGCGAGTCCTTCCTTGCCTCTCGGTCGTCTGTCTCCTAGCGTTGCCAGGAGTCGACACATCCCCACTCGTCTGTTTCCTGACCTTGGGGTCAAGCTGGGTAGAGGAGGAAGGTCTGACAGTGTCACTCTGCAACAAGTCATTGAGTCAAAAACAGGCGACAGATAAAAAAAGAGAGGAAATTGTGCTAAGGTAATGTAGCTCACCCTAGGTGCCTATTTGGCAGGCAACTGCTCAGTGGACCTCTTGCCAAGAATGGCTGCGCGGAGTTGGGCGGCTACTTTCTTGGAGGCCGAGATTTTGTTCATAACTTTATCTGCAAAATATGAATCAAATGGTTAGACACAAAATTAGTCAAGTCTATCAAGACACCCTAAACAGGCGGTCCACTACCTCTCAGCATCTCCTCGCTAAGGCCACAAACGGCGAGGTATTTTCCATCGTATAACCAATTATACTTTGGGACTTAGTTTTGAGGGATGAACTCCCTCACCCTAGTCTCGGGGTTCGCTTGTATCTAAACTTTGAAGAGCCCTCTGTCTAGGATCTCTTCTTTTGCTTGTTGAGGAACAGGCGGCAGGTCAGATCCGCCTGTAAGGTAAGGTGGATCCCTGTTCCACCTGTTGAACTTCTTGTTCAGGACCTTATTAGGGTGGGAGACTATGTAGAAGGTGTTCCTCCAATCCTTCAACTTGTTCTCCTTTCCCATGGTCATCATGTAGCCTTTATGGCTAGACAACTGGTACCAGCCGGTACCGCTTGTTTTGGGGGTCCGACTGAGGTAGTTCATATGAGCAAAAGCTTCAAAGCTTGGCTCTACCCCATACATCTCGCAGCCGGCAATATAGCCTAAGATGTTGAACCATGAGTTTAGGGCCAGTTGCTAGAGACCCAGCTGGTACCCATCCAAAATACTCTTTTACAGTCGGATGTAGAGGAAATATTAAACTAGCTTTAATGGCCGCCTCATAGCAGCCAAAACACTCGTCCCTGTAGCTGGACTTCTCTGGCCAGACTACTGTATCCTCGTCATCCGGCACTGATAGAATGTAACCATGACCCATTACATGGTCAGCCCTAAAACTCCCAATCTTTTCAAACATAGCCTTGCGCCGGCCTTTGGGAACATGGCAAAAGTAGTAGGGGGTATACATTTCCCTTTGGGTTGCAGCCGGCTCTGCCCATCTCTCCCCTTTCTCAGCCTCATGGCTTTCTCTCGCTGTATAGAGCCGAGAATGCTTCTCCTCTGAGTCGCCAGCGTACAGACTGGAGGTGCTGGGTTTAGAGTCGTCGCTTGAGCTCTCGGGCAAAGCAGTTGCCTGCCCAGATAGGTCAATGATATGAGGGTCATTCTGAACCTCTTACTCTGATTCTACCAAAATAGAATCACTTGGGGTGCTTGGGACGCTTGTTGGCATGTCCGAGATCTCGCTAATGGGCGCGTAGAAGGAGGAGCCGTCTGAATTTGTTATCCTGGTCGTTCTCTTTATTCTGGCCATGGTGTCTTGCACAGACACATAGACAGTCGGACTCTGGGCAGTTCGCAAAGGGTGGTCCAGCATGGGGCAGGCGGCACTCCTAGTTTTAGATTCAACCGTCCCCGGTGACCGGCTGATCACTAACCAAGGCCGTGTCGGGTGCTTTTGGGCTACCATTTTTGAAAAAAAGGAAAAAAACAAAGAGAAAGTGCAAGAGGGAACAGGCGGTTACCTTTGAGTAGAGAAGTCTTGGAACTTTTGATAAACTGAGCAGCTGAAGAAGCAGGCAGTCCGAAAACAAGCGGCATTCGTCAAAAGTGTCAGAGCAAGTGTCCAAAGTTTTTTCCTTAAAAAGTTTCTAGAATGTCCAAATGATTTGGACACCCCCTATTTATAGAGGGGGAATTTCAAGGGTAAAAAAAAAAAAAAAAAAAAAAGGTAAAAACTGTTATCCAATCATGGCATGACACCTATCACAGGCGCCACGTGGCATGCCATGTCACCCTTGTGGCATTTTTCTCCGCCGCGTGGACCAATGAAGCCCTACCACGTGTCATCCACGTGGACCAACTAGAGTGAAGGTTCAATGGGCACTCAAGAGGGGGGGGGGTGAATTGAGTGTTAAGTAATCGTTAGCGATTTTTGCTTCTTTTCGGATTATGTGTAAGGAACCAGTTGTGCTGGTTCCGTTATGCAGCGGAATAAAACAAAGCAATAAAGAACACAACAAATTTAACGAGGTTCAGCCAACTCAGGCCTACGTCCTCCTATCCTAAGTCCTTTATTAATCTACTCCGAAAAACAAAGACAAAGAACACTCTACTGTTTCCCTACTCCGGGAACCAGTCTACCCCACACTCTACTCCGAGTGTGCTCTCGACTTACACTCGTAAGCCCAATGTGTTTGAACTCACAAACACTCACCCAGCCTTTAACCCCTTTGTTAAAGACTCAATACAAGAATCAAGAACTCTCCTTTGATCTCACTTCTACGAAGCTAATTAAGAGAAAATGTTTTTGTACTAGAATGCTCTTGTATATGACTTGATGAATGGGATTAGTGCTTAAGTATATGCTCTCAAATAATTGCTCTTTTTAATTTCTGGAGAGGCACACGAAATATGTGAAATAAGATGAGTTTATATAAGCTTAGATTCCTAAAACCTAGTTTCCTTAAATCACACAATCTTAGAGAATAAGATATATTGTAATTTTAGGAAAGTATTTATCTTATTTGATTTAATCACAAAGATAGAATCAATTAAGATAAATACTCCTAGTTTTTAGGTAACCAAGAATATTTCATCTTATTTCCAGCTGCACAAAATATTTTCAAAATAATCTTTTCGAAAAAATCTTTTTGTAAAATCTTTTTCCAAAACGGCAGCTCGAATATTTCGTACAGTGAACCTGGTTCCCCGACCTGGTTCCCTGAATTGAAACATGTTATGAAACCTGTTCCAACTTTGTACCAGATTTCATATCATACTTCAATATACTTTTAAGCACTTATATAACCCAAACATGCAAGCATACTACGGAGCATATTACATGAAAACCTAGATAACATATTAAAGCATAAATCGTCTTTTCTTCATGTAATCTTCAAGACTTGAATCTTCCTTGAATACTTCTATTATGAGCAAACAATCTTTCTTCGAAATATCTTCGAAAGGCTTCTATGCTCCAAGTCTTGGAATCAACTCAACTACTGCACATGTAACATGGTTAATGCACAATAAAGAGTATGTGACTGCTTTTCCGCATAGCAGTCAAGGAAACGGTTCATACTGGTTCCCCACCAGTACATAGCACATTTATCATCTAACTGTTTCCTGTATATAGATAAGTTAGTTCAATAGATAACTCATATAATCAATAACTTATCTAGGAAAACAGTGTTCTATTTTAGTTGGTTCCCCCAACTGTATTGAACACTTTCAAAGACCTGTTTCCCTTAGCTGTTTGTCATCATTCAAAACTATCAATCAAAACCTAAGGGACTCAACATAGAGCCTGCCACATGTCACCTCGTGAGAGGTCCAACGTGGACCAATCAGGTCACGACACGTGGCAGGCAGGATTGCCAATTAGGAAAGTGGCCTCCTACGGCCCAAATTCCGAGACAAGGCCTAGTCAGCCCTAGGTTTGCTAAAACCTAGTACTGGGCACATTTTCCAACACCCTATAAAAGGGAGTTGTTTCCCTCTGAGGAACATTCATTCAGAATTATTCAATACACATTAACTCACAATCAGAGAAAGTCAGACATCTGACACCTCGAACTGATCAATTATACATTATAGATTCTCTCTTGGAAACCGAGAGAGACCCTTTACTTTCATCACATTACTCCTCATACATGTTCTAACTTGATCGTCGGAGGCGGAACTCCCACCCATTGGAGTCTCTGTTGTTTTGCAGGTACAGGCGTCCAGAAGTCAGCCTTGGAATTGTAACTCTCCCGCAGGACATCAAAAAACCCCGAAACAGTAGGGATTTAGTGTTTAGATAATAGTCAACCAATATATTCATCTCAACGCCTATATTCCAATTACTCCCACCGTTCCTAAATAATTGACACGTTTGACACCTTTTCGCTATTCATATACTTAGGGATATGATTGTTTAATTCACTTTATTTTTGCTTATTTGTTCTGATATGGAGTGGTCTAGTCTGATTCGATCTGATTTTGTCTTGTCTGATCTGATCTAGTATGATCTTATCTGATTTGACCAAACTTTGACTTTTTGTGGGCGATATTGCGATAATCTATAAGGAAAAATCCAGTGGCGTCTTGTTAGATTCGAATTAATGTGTATGTTATTAATATGTAATTTTTACTCCTTCTGTCCCATAATACATGACACAGTCAACATTGCACACATGCCAATGCACTAGTTTGACTTTATTTTTATATAATTAAATATTAATGAAAATTATTTTAAAAATTATATTATGAAACTTTATATTAATACCTATCTAACAACATATTTTATGATAAAATATGTTTTTATTATGTTAGTAAAAATTTATGGTCAAAGCTAATGCATGATTAGTGAAAAAATTTCAACGTCTCATGTATTATGGAACGGAGGGAGTATAATTTATTTCATTACGAAAGTATAGATATTTAGGTAATAAAAAACCGCACATAAAAAAATAAAGTGTGTCAGAACTTATTTTTCCTGATCTAAACTTTTTTTTTTTTTAAATAAGTAAAAATAAGGTGAATGAAACATAACCTTAAATTTGGCCATCATTTTTAGGTAACATATAAAAAACAAATTTTATCAAAAAATATATTGTTAAATACTACCTTCGTTTTCTTTTTTAGTTTAAACGTTTTGACATTAGCACTATTCACACACTTCCATTTGTCCGTGTTCTGTGATTTATGTGCAATGAAAAAATATAGTCATGTAGGATCTTGTTAGATTTGTCATGATATATATTTTCAAAATATCAACTTTTTAAATTTTTGCTTATTAATGGTTTAAATATATTAATGGTTGAATTTCATTGGCAAACATGACTAAAGAAACATGATAACTAAAAAAAATCGAAAGAAGTAGGTATTAATATAAAGTTTCATTATATGTATATATATATATATATATATATATATATATATATATATATATATATATATATATATATCAAACTAGTGCATTGACATGTGTGCCAAATTTGATTGTTTCAATTATTCATAAACATAGAGAGTATCAAGTTTTTATAATTTGCTAATGCGTATTTAATTTAAAGATATTTACATCTAAAATTATGCATTTGCAAACATGCCTAAATGAAATGTGTCAACTAGCATTGAAACGGAGGAAGTATGTTAATGGTCAAACTAGTTCATTGACAAGTGTGTCGAGGTTGATTTGTTCAGTTATTCTGGAATGGAAGAAGTATAGTAAAAGTCATAATAGGTTAATAGATATCCTAAAATTGAGGGGTTTGATAATATAAATGAATATTAGGCGCCTTTAAAAAGCTTTTGTATTACCGAAAATATTAATGATCAAACTTGTGCATTAGCAAGTGTGATTCATAGCCTGAAACAGAAGTGGTATTGCAATCTACAATCTCAAATTAATATTCTCTTAGTATTTGGCACACATATTAAAAGTAGAATGTATACCCCCTTCATTTTCTTTAATGTTTCAATGTATTTCACTATGTATGTTTCAAAATCTTTAATTAATTTTGTATTATAAAAAATTATTAAAAAAAAAAGCTTTTCAAAAACTACATATCAAACGATTTTAATTATACCCTACATAACAATAGAGAAAAAGCAAATGCGGGGATGTTATGTATATTTACATGCATCAACAATTATACCATCAAAAATACTTATTTATTTAATTATTTGCCTGCAAATGTTAATTACATTTTTTTTTACCTCTTAGGAATAGTGTATGGACATTTATACCTCTAAATATATTTGTTTGCATATTTTCCCTCATTTTGTTGCTAACAACTAAAAGCACACTCTCTGAAAATGGCTAGCTATGGCCTACGCATTGTGCGAGTTACCCTCTATAGTCACAAAATAAACTCAAAGTAAATTATGTAAATAGTGCACAAAGTCAAAATGTGTCAACTAAAAAGAAACGAAGAGAGTAAATAACTAAACATTAGTAAAAATTATTAAAAAGCTGATAATATGAAATTTTATATTAATATAATATAACGACACTTACAAGACAATATTTTATTTTGTTATATTTAATTGTTGTAAAAAAGAACAACCAAATTTAGTATATGAATATTAGTGTAAAAAGTCAAAATATAAATTATTTTTGAATGGAGGGAGCAAGTATTAAGATATATTCCATTTGTTACATGTTAGATGCAACATAGGACTTTTTCACTGTCCATAATTTTTTTTCGTTCCGTGAATTCTTACTAATACGTAAAAAAAACAAACAAAAAATGTTTTATATACTCGATTTACATTGATTAGTGCGGAAAATTTGCCAATTACAGCCATTTAATGTTTGTATTTTGCAAATTGCAGTCATTTAAAAAAAAAACAAAATTACAGCCTAAAAGTACTAATAAATTGTAAATTGCGACCTAATTTAATTTTTTCATCAATTTGCATGCTGGAAAATGTTCCGTAAAGGTTTTAGGGGTCATTTTAGTCCTTATAGATCCGAATTGAGCTCGAAATTGGCAAAAAATAATGTAAGCCTCTTGTTTTGCGTATAAAAAAAATATCGATTTGCGTGCAACTATTTTTTTTCTCGTGAAAACGAGGCACTTACGTTAGTTTTTTGCCAATTCTGAGCTCAATTCTGATTTTTAAGGACTAAAATGACCTCTAAAACTTTTAAAGAACATTTTTCAGCATGCAAATTGATGAAAAAATTGAATTAGGTCGCAATTTACAATTTATTAGTACTTTTGGGCTGTAATTTTTTTTTTTAACTGGATGCAATTTGCAAAATACAAACATTAAATGGCTGCTATTGTCAAATTTTCCTATTAGTGCACATAATATAGTTTTATTTTTTATTTATTATTAATTTTTTGATGAGAAAATTGAATAGTTGCCAATTTGGGATGTAATTAAGGGATGTGTAGGGAATATTTAAAACATCAACTTTTGAGCCCCACTATGATCATGCTTTAAGCATGGTGGCGTCCAAAGGGAAAGAAGCTAGAGATTAAAGAGTCGTCAACAAGTTTTAGGAACTTGTAACCGTTCACGGGTGTGAAAGTTACACCCCATTCACGATCACGGAGATCGCTAACTCCATAGTGGTCCGGAACGATGACTGGATATTTGGGGATGATGGTACGAATCAAACCTAAAAGAGACTGAACCCGCCCTAAATCGGCCTCTACTTAATTCTTATGATATTCATTTGCGCTTTTCGATCAACATACATACAACAAGTTAATCCTAAAACTATTTAATCTATATTAGTTGATCATTAATGCACAAACAAATCTATTATTGGTGATCACTTGAATTAAAATCATATTAAGCATAATTAGGCGTGATTTCAAGTACAAATTCCCTTTAAACCTGCAGAAAGGGCGTGATCAAGCAATAACAGTAAATCATGAATAATCAAGCAATGTATAATTAATACAACAATCATCATCATAATCAAAACAATCATTAGCAAGATCCTAGGCATGATACTAAACAGATTAATAACAAACCCTAGCATGTCACTAAATAAAAATCAAAGCTTTAGCCTAAACATGATACTAAAAAGCATGATATTATATTAAAAGCATCCTAATATAATACTAGAAATTAAAATAATATTCTAAGCATGATTTCTATATCAAAAGCAATGAATAAAGATAGTAAATCTACTCACTTTGATGCCTTGTACCTCTTTCTATTAAAACAATACACGCGTTAGTAACTTCAAGAAAGATTAAATCAAACAAATCAAATAAGAATTGAAATATAGATTAGGGACCAAACCCTCAGAAATATCAACATTTCACGTCGAGGTCGAAGGCAACTTCGAGAAGGGCTTGGAGTTTTAAAGGCTCGTGAAGGACGTATGGTGTATGATGTGTTTAGGCTAAGGCTAAGAAAGAGAGAGAGAGAGAAAAGCTTATAGCTTAGAGAGGGATTAAGATGATGATTGTCAGTGATCAAGCTTGTTGATGATTCAAAACAGGGTGAAACAACCTTATTTATAGGAAAAAAACGAGGGAAAAGATCAGAAAAAAGAGTCAGAATTCGACTCGGAGTAAAACAGCTTTCATCGCGTGATGATGGATCCATCGCATCGCGATGCTTATATCGCTGCACGATTTTTGCATCGCGCCACAATATTTTCATCGTCCAGCGATATTTTCTGAAGATAGAATCCGTACGGATTTCGACTCCCAATTAAATTGGGTTAGCCGTGTTTCCGTACGTATCCTAATTTTATTAGAATTAAAATCATTGAAAACACATTTTTTTATCCGATATAAAATTCTTAAATTTAATCTTTTTAAAAACAGGATAAGTTAGAACTCTCTAGAGAATTCTAGAAGCTAATAATAAATCCTAAGGGATTTAGGACTCAAAACAATCTTCTAGATAATTCTAGAAGCTTGTAATAAATCCTGATGGGATTAGGAATGAATTAAGGTTAATGGACCCTCCACGTGATCATTGGGTCCGTAGGTAAGGCTCGATTTGGGCTCAGTTTAGTATTTTGGATAACTCGGATTTGGGCTTATAATAGATCGTTGGAAAGATATTTTCAAACCCCATTCAACAAATAATAATTGGACAAGGATTATGGACTAAAATAAACTGGTTTGGACATTTTTATAAAGATGACACGAAATGAATGATTTTCAAAGACATGAAATGAATTATTTTGAGTTTAAAGGCACGAAATAAATGATTTTGGCTAAAAACTTTTAAAGAAAGGTTAGAAATGGTCTAGGCTTAGGAAATTCACGAGACTCTTCAACTCTTCACCTAATTTGATAATCAAAGACGTAAAAAGTACTCATCACTGGGTGTAGTATTTGGGGAGACACAATCAGGTGTCTACAGGATGGGCAAAGTTTTATACACTATATATTTTTGGTTTTTTTTTAATTTTTTTTTTTTTTTTTTTGTATTTAAGGCAAGTAGGAACCTTTGCAACGGAGGTAAAATATTTATCATACACTTGATTTATCTCAATGTTTATATTGAGTGCATCAATTTTTCATAGTTCTTACTAACTTTAAATTAGGGATATTAATTACCAAAGTTATGTATTGACAAAAATGTTAGTCAAACTGTTGCTTAACTCGAAATAGAGAGCGTGATTTTTTAAAATTTGGTAGGTACATTTTGTTAAAGGTTATATACGCTAAGACCATAATTATTAAAATCACAAAGAATCTTACGATTTTATAATTCATATATGACCATAAGATTCGATTTTACAATTCTATCTGATTTAACCTTTCACTTAACTAATGAAAACTTTACAAATTTATAACATTTTTAAAAAAAAAGTATTAATAAATGTATATCTTAGTGGGTAAACAATTATTTTCTATCAATAATTAAAAATTTTAACGTATAATATAAAGACATTCAATGAAAGTTGATTATGACGTCTTGATTATGCATAAAATTCTACAATTGGATTATAAAGCCCTTTTTGATTCAAAGTAGAATCTTAATTTTGATGACTTTGGTTGAGACAAATCCAGCAACAACTTATATATATCCAAACATCTATTTTTACATGATCATTAAAAGTTATAGTCAATATAGATAATATATACTCCGTATAGTTAAAAAAAAAAAACATATTGCGTTTAGGGGGGTGATAATGAGCTTGGCTTGTTCGTGAACAATTTGAGCTTGACCCGGTCAAAGTTTGGGCAAAGCTCGATTCGTGTTGGCTTGGCTCGGGTTTGAGTTCGGCTTGAGACCTTAACGAGTCGAGTTGAGTTATGCCAAGCCCGACTCAAAAAGTTAATGAATAAACTCGATTAGTATTCCCATATAAAAAATAAATTATGTTCATAAATATAAATATAAATATATTTATCCTAATTACACAATAATAAGCTAGTATTTTTATCATAACACAATAAACTCATCACAAAATAAAAAATTTAATTAAAAATAAAAAAGAGTTAAGGACAAGTAAACTAAGGATATAATAAGTCAAGGTTCTTCGTGAACAGCTCGGTCAACGCTTGTCCAAACTCGACTCGGTCAAAGCTTAACTAAGTTTCGAGCTCGGTTCGAGTTCAAACAAACTTAAACGAACACAAGCCGAACTAATCATAATTTGGGCTCGACTCGCTTGACTAGCATCCCTAATTGCGTTTAGTCAAATGCAGATTGAAACTCTAAAATCTACACAAAACAATCGGAGCGCGAAAACCGGGTTAAGGCGCGGATCCGAATGAGCAAAAAAGAAAAGAAGTTTTAACATGGAGATGCCGGAGCATCTTGGTCGTTGCTAAACGTAGGACCCGCCCTTAACAAAATTAAAGTAGTTCCAATAACAAGTTTAAACCCCAAAAAAGAAAAAAACTGTTGTCCCAAATTAAAAATATAAAAAATAAATAAAAATAATTAGCAGCTCCCATCATCTTGTATTCCCAGTCCACGTCTTCCACCCTGTCATCTACCGTACTCCTTTCTCTCTCCTCCCAATATCTGATTCCGTCCACTCCACCGACTACCTGCTTAACCGGTCATCTCCCCCTCCACACGTGCCATCCTTCAACTTTTTACATTCTCGCACGTGCCTCTCCCCTCACCCATACACTACCGTTCTCTCTTATTTGTGTGGTGCAACAAATTAAAGTAGGAGAGAGAAAAACCACCTCAACAAACTTACACTATTTCTCTTAGACCTCTCATAGCTACCCTTTTTCATAAATTAAAAAAAAATTATAAAATTATATTTATTTTTATAAAAATGACCCATTAAATCAAAATACCTTTGCATTTTGTCTATGTAGTTCATTCATAAGTTTCATTGCACTTAAGCTCATTTTATTTTTATTTTCTCTCTCTAAATCTCATCAGTTTTAATTTATTTTGTGTGCACCAAAGAAAAGATAAATCAAACCCATGAGGATTAGGAAAAGAAAGGTACCTTTGCCTCTTTCACTTCTTTCTCCGGTATCTCTTTCAGATCCCCACCTTTTCAGCCGGTCACCGGTGCAAACTACTCATGATAATAATAGTACCACCACCCTTTCCTCCTCCTCCTTCTCGCCGCTGATGCCGACGTCATCCGATTATTTCTCGACTACTAAACGGTCCGCTTCCGATCCACGCCGCGGTGGACCGTTGGTCGATAACGATAACACTTCTAAGCTTCCTACTGCTACTAATACTACCGTTGATGCTACGGTAACTTTGTGTTTTTATTTCATTTTTATTTATTTATTTATTTATTTATTTTTTTACTTTGGGTTTGTTTGTTGTTGTAGTACGGATGGTTGTTGTAGTAATTTTATTTAAGAGCAATTGCACTACTATACATTCAACCATATGTAATTAAATTAGTTAGTTCTTTATGTTAGATAGATTGAGTAATAATAGATCTTTTTGCTTCAACAATTTTACTTCTGTAGGGATTCGAAGCTGTCGATAACAACGGACTACAAATTAACAATAATGAAGATAATATCAGGTAAACAATAATTTCAAATTTCTTAAATACCATCGTTTGAATTTTCCAATTCTATAATCTATATGCAATGAAAAATTATTTGGAATTTTTGTTATTTTCTTTCTTTTTTTTTTTAACCTTTATTTCATGTTGGTACCTACTTTGATCAAATCTAGTAATTAAAGGGTGAAGGATAATACTGTACTCTCTCCCCGCTCTCGTCTCAAACGTTGTTCCTACTTTGACGGTGATGGTTTTATTAAGAGACGGAGAGGGTAACAATTTGAAGTACATAGAAACTTAATTAAAGTGGGAATATACTAGTATTATACATGTATAATTTTTAGAAGAAAGGTGGGGAAGAAGTTTTTATTACCAGCTTTTGGCAAGAGTCACCATACCTTCCCCATCTAATCTCATCTAGTCCTTTTAATTTTCTTTTATTTGGTTATCTACCAAAAATTAAAATTTAAAATAAATGTAAAATCGAAAAATAAAATTATATATATATATATAAAAAGTATTATTATTGTACTACACCAATGCGATGGATGTTAGCATGGGGACGATGATGGTCCCCATCAACAGCGTTTTCTCTCTCTATATGTATCATTTACATAACATACATATTTTTGCACCCACCTTCATCTTAAATTTGTCTATCATTTTTCTATTTATGTTTGATTTCTCCGCTTTTAATGTCAATGGTTGTTGATTTCTGGGATTTTCCGATTTTTAGTATCGCGAGTATGAGAGGTGCAACAGAAAATAACGATGATAGTGGACGATCTTTATCTCTCTCCAATAATGAAGGTATTGATAATAAACGCAGTTAATTATTTTTGTTTTGTAAGTTTTTCGTTTCCATTGATGATGATGTTTTGAGATTGTTGTTGTGTTGGCCTGGGTGTGAATAATGTTGTTATGTCTTTAGATCAAGTGTTAGGGAGGTGGTGCGATGGTGATAAAGCGATTCCACTGAAGAAGAGGAGAGGGATTGGGTTTAATACCTTTGTTGAAAACTCGATATTTGATGGTAAGGAGGACACGACAACACCACCAACAACAATGACGATGATAATGAAGTGGAGTAAAACCGACGTTGAAGATGAAAAACAAATAGAGAAGGGTAATAACGACGAGGTAGTAGCAGCAGCAGCAGCAGTGAGTGCAAAGAAGGGAAATGCAAAAAGGGGTAACACAATAATGGAAGGTTCAAGGTGCAGCCGAGTGAACGGGAGAGGGTGGAGGTGTTGTCAACCGACACTCGTGGGTTACTCCCTATGCGAGCATCACTTAGGGAAGGGTAGACTCCGGAGTATGACAAGTAACACTAGTGCAAAGTCGCGGTCCTCTAAGAAGAAGAGCAACTCCACGAACGGGACTAAATTCGCGCTAGGCCAGGTGGAGGAGAGTGAGGCAGTGGATAATAGCAGTCAGAAGAAGCTAGAAAGAATGAGTTCGTTTGGTAAGAGTAAGAGGGTGAAACTTGGTGTAGTCAAAGCTCGTTCGCTTAGTAGTTTGTTGGGGCAGACGAATAGTATGAATATTGTTGCAGATCATGCAAATATTCAGCAGCATGAAAAGATTAGTAGCTTGGATTATCAATGAACAAATCAAGATTATGGATAAACTCGAGGTTAGAGCTATTTGATTGCTTGAATAATGATACACTATTAATTACAATATTAAGACGTATATATGTACGTCGTCGGTGCAACTCTAAATATAATCTTAGTATATAGTTCATGTGTTATGCTATTATGCTTGCTAATTTAATTAGTGTAGTTTTGAGTTATTGTGGTAAACTTATTAAGACATGTTAAGTAATACTTCGTATAATATAAGATGGAGTTATATAAACGGACGTTTAAGGTTAAGCTTCATGTTTGGTGCAACAATATAAGTAAAGTCTTATCTTGTTTGTAGTTGTGCTCTTCCACATGCTTTTGGAGTGTTCTAGGATTGTGCGTGTTGGGGATTAGATTCGGACAGCATATTTTGGATGTTTTGGTCTATGTTTTTTATATTATAACTAGCAACATTAACACAATTTTGATGTTTAAAATTATTCGAAAATTATAATGAAATTCTTTCTTCGTTCCAAATTAATTTAGTTATTAATTTAGACAACATATTAAAGATGTTATGGTGTACGATTTTGTCATTATAACAATATTAATGCAAAATTAAATTTAAGTTTCTATGTATATTTAGTTTACCAAAGCTATTACTCTTTAATTTCATAAGTCTTTTTTTTTATTTTTTTTATTTTTTTATTATTATTGTTTGGTCATTTCTAAATCAAAATTTACAGATTAAATTTATTTTAATGTTTTAAAATCTAATATCATATCATATCACTAATAAATAAAGTCGATCTCGCAGCCAGACCACAAGATAGCGACACTTGGTATTCCAGTTTTTTGCCAAGTGTCGCGCCACATAAGCGATAAATAGGTATTATTGTGACACATATGAGGTTAAGTATGCGATTTTTGGATATAATTTTTAACATAAATTGTTATATAGAGTTTTATTATCAATAGAATTCTAATATTTCATATATACAAAATTAATCATAACTTTTAATAAATTTCATATAACCCAATTCTATTTCCATCATCAAATTCGTTTTAAAAAGTTCTTTAAAATAAGATTCATTTATAATATATTTAATCTAAAACTTTTATACTGTATGTAGTTGGTCAAATCGTGTCACCAACTATTATAAGAGTTACTTCGTTAGTGCTATAGGGTTTACTTGGTCAGTGTTATAGTGGTTACTCAGTCAGTGTTATAGATAAGGGTTACTTAGTTAGTGTTAGAGGTTACTCATCAGTTAGTATTACAGAGGTTACTCGGTCAGTTTTATAGGGGTTACTTTGTCCTGTCAGATGGTGTGGCTAGCTGCATACAAAATGCATTGTTATTTAATTTTTTTTATTTAAAAAAATAGATAATCAGATCAATAAAAATAAGTTTTAATCAGTAAAAATAATTTTAGTTTGGTAAAAATACTTACTTTCAATTCAGTGAAAATAATTTAAGCTTAATAAAAGTAATTTCAAGTCAATAATAACATATATATCTATTTACAAACAAAACTACATAAAGTACACTATTATATAAATATAAGCCATAAGATATCGTATGTCTAAATATCCTACATTATCAAAACGGATTATATGACCGCATTTAACATTCAAGTAAAAATGTTATCTTAAAATTTTATCAACCACATGGGCATCGCCCGGGCACAAACTAGTATATATATAAACGGGAGTTTTTTCCCGAGTTTTTAGAGCGTCCCGTAGGATTTTAATTTTTAAAAAATTATTAGAGCGCCACTTAGGATTAATATTTTTAAAACACTACAATCGGATTATGCCACGTAAGATTAGTTTTTTTAAAGTGCTACGTAGGATTATTATAAAAAAAAGTGTCATGTAGAATAAATAATTTTAAAACGCTACAATAGGATTATGCCATGTAAGATTAGTTTTTTTAAAAGCGCTACATAGGATTATGATAAAAAAAATAAAAAATTATCAGAGCGACCTATAAGATTATTATTTTATTATCATAAATAAAATTAAATGATTTATTTGGGTGCTTAATGGAACCAACATTATGATAAATTTTACAAAAATTACAAATATTACGAGTATCAATATTATTATTTAGATATAGGAATATTATTATTTAGATATAGGATTAATGGAAATTAAAGGGATCAAAGTAAGAAATATCAATTATTGAGCTAGCATATTCAACCTTCAATCAAAAGTGAATAAAAAGACAAGAATGTTGACTAAAAAAAAATGGAAATTATGTTGTTTGTAAACATATGGGAAATTAGAAATTTTCAAATTTTTTTGTCAAGGAAATTTCAAATTAGAGATAGAGCGTCATATAGGAAAATGCTATATTTTAGTCAATGAAAAAAAAATTGCAATTTATTTTAGATCTAAAATTTATATTAATTATAAAAATAAAATCAGCGCGTTTTCTGTGTGGTAGGTCATATCGTGTGGCCGGCTGAGACACACTAAAATATTGATTGGGTAAACCTTAACCATCCGAGTAACTTTTGATTGATCGAGAAATCCTTGACCAACAGAGTAGCCCTTGATCAAGTAATCCCAACCACACGCTGTAGCCATATGAAATTTTGTGAAATAAAATTTTATCTTTTAATATTTGGAATTTTATCTAAATATGAGAAACAAAATTAATAATTCGTTTTATAATAAAAAATTCAAGTAGTAAGCAAGCGAAAATCACAAACTTTATCGGATAAATATATATATTTGGCAAAATATTTTATTTGAAAAAATACAAACAAACCGTGTATCGCACGGGATTCATCTAGTTGTACATATAAATGTGCATATTTTAGAAAGCTTAATTGTAAATTGAATAGTCTGATAACTCTAATTTCCTTACATTTAGTTTCAGATTATAAACACAGGAAGGGAAACTAATTAGTTAATTCATCTATAGATACTTCTATCTCATTTTAGTTGCAATTTTGCTATTCTGATTTTTTAATAATTTGACTATTAGTTTCTCTAATTATGTTGGTAAACATTGTTAAGTTCAAGTTAATCTTAAAACAATTCTTACAAATTAAATCTCACGTGTATTATAATGGCTTCTTTTTATTTTTTATTTATTTATTTATTTATTTTTTTTATTTTTTATTTTAAGCAGTTGTGTATTAAGTTGTATTATAATTTACAGATTCAATTCTTACAAATAAACATTGAGTAGGAGACTAGAAGGGAGTTAATAATACGAAGTAACTTGATATTATACCTAATTTTACAACGCTTGGTGGCAAGTGTGCCAATAGCCCAACACCCAAAATTAAATAGCTGTGAGATAAAAGTTTCTTCCTTTTTTTTTTTTTTTTGTATGTGTTAATATTACATATGCACGCACTAAATTAACCTATATAATTAATATATTACGTAGTATTCCATCTGTCACAGAATAATTGACACAATTATATTTGACATATGAATCAATGCACTAATTTAACCTAATTTTTATATAAATAAATATTATTAAAAAATTAAAAGTTGATAGTATAAATCCTTATATTGATAATACATATTTAAAAATATGTTTAATGATAAATTTGTTTTAATTACATTTGTAAAAATCTATAGTCACAGTTAATACTTTGTATATGACTAGTGAAAATAATTAAATATATGAATTATTCTGTGGCGGAAGGAGTATAAGCTATTAAATTAGGTCCTGAATTTTGCTAGTATAAGTAATTATCTACTGGTTAAGTGGTTATTTAGCTGCTGGCTAATTAAGAATTCTTATTAAAGTTAGAGAGCGATTAAAATACAATCCTATCTAACTCTTGTTGCATTTCTTGCGTCAAAAGTCTCCGTCAAGTGCAAGGATAATCTAAGTAGTTTTGGACCATTTAAATAATGTACTTTTTTTTAATTAATTAATTAATTTTTCACTAATAGATTGAGTATAAAACCTATTTCCGGTCTTAATCACAAGTTTAAAATTTTTGGTTATTTGGTTAAATTGATCCTTTAACATGGTATCAACAGCCAGCGTGACTAAGAAGGTCACGGATTTAAATTTCATTAATCCAATAGATACTCTAGGTGAATACCTCTAAAAAAATTCTCATCTTAGATGACTACGGTAATTTCCAATGTGTGCTCTCTTTTCATCTGAAAATATATAATTTGTTATTCCTTTCATCTGAAAATAAATACCCCTTAATCCCTTATAACATGTAATTAATGTGTATACTTTTATAGGTATCTTTCTAAATAAGTTATATAGATATTTTTAGAAATATTTATAACTCAAAAATCAATATAATGTTTGAAGAAGTTGTAAATGGATAATATTTTAGCCTTTTAACAACTATTAAGTCAATATGTGAAATAAATATCCTTTGACATGTAAAGTATGGATAGTATTTGAGCGAGTTATAGGTGACTTAACAATTTTTTTAGGCAAGAGAGAGGCTAGCTTGATTAGTCTCGAACAAAAAACTTTAGCAACTTTTTTTATTTTTTTTTATTTTTTTATTTTTTTTTTAAAAAAAAACATTAACACTTTGTTTGGATAGAAAGAAATGAAAGGAAAAGAAAAGGAGGGGGACTTGGGTTTGATTGGGGGAAGGAAGGGAAAGAAGAGATCCATTTTCCCTCTCTCTTTAATAAGCATAATCTCTTCAAAATTGAAGAGATTTGGAGGGAAAATGGAGCTCACCTCCATCCCCCCCCCCCCCCCCCCCTTCTTCTCTCTTCCCTTCCTCTTCTACCCCTTCCCTCCTTTCCTTCCTTGTTTCCTATCCAAACAAAGCGTAGCTTTATTAGCAAGTAGCAACGAAGTAAAACAAGTTACAATACGTAAGTGGCTGGCACTCCTATATGGAGAATCTTCTGAACGTCGAGTTATAGGCTCTTCAAAGTTGATGATCTTTGAAGTTTAAACAACTCCTTTATTTGCAAGCCAACCCGTCAATCGATATGATCTTTTTTTTTTGTTTGACAATGTGTATAATCCACCGTACTTTAAACTCCTAGGTGCGAGGAAGATCTACTATTCGACTTAACATACTACCTCCGTTTTATATTTTTTTGTAATTTTGAGGTATTATTTGTGAGATATAAAATATTTCAAAGTTATAAAAAATATGAAAACGGAAGTAGTATATAGAATAAATGATATATGTAGGCATTTGCCAAATGATCGAGTTAT